ATTTAGGACCTATCAAAAATATTTTTGAATTTGATATAACGAATTATCGAATTTGTTATGGCGAATTTAATTCGTTATAACAGTTTCTTTCAATTCGTTATAATGAATTTAATATGTTATAAAAAAAATTGTTGAATTCGTTAGAACGAATTCAAAAATTTGTTATAACGAATTAAATTCGTTAAAACGAATTCTAAAATTTGTTACGATTTAAATTCGTTAAAATGAATTCGGTAAATCGTTATATCAAATTCATACATATTTTTCTATAGGCCTTGATTGTTGAATTTGATTTAACGAATTTAATTTGTTATAACAGATTTTTGAATTCGTTATAACGAATTAAATTTATTTAAACGAATTCTGAAATTTGTTATAACGAATTAAATTCATTTAATCGAATTAGACATTTAGGTCCTATAGTACAATATTTATGAATCTGATATAACGAATTGCCTAATTCGTTCATTCGAATTTTATTCGTCATAACAAACTAGGAATTCGTTTAAACGAATTTAATTTGTTATAACAAATTTTAGATTTCATTTAAACGAATTTACCCTGTTAAAACAATTTTTTTTAATTCGTTAAAACGATTTCAACAAATTTGTTATAACAGACTAAATTCGTTATAACGAATTAAAATAATGATATAACGAATCAAATTCGTTTGAAAATATTTGACAATCGGTCATATCGAATTCAAAAATATTTTTGATAGGTCCTAAATGGGCTTCCGCAACCATTTTATAGAGGTACAAAAAATGAGTTTCTTTGTATGAATTAACCAAGATTATAACTGTTTTATCCCACTCATGAAACCTGTTCTTTAAATGTTTTTAAATATATTGCCCAGTTCTCCCGTGAGAAAGAAAACGATTGCTTTTACTCATAATGTGGGTTGCATGATCATTGTCTGAATGTCTTTCACAAAATATGAAGTCAATTAAGAATCAGAGACGTTTGTAAGTGGTGTTTCAGCATGAGGTAGATATTGGTTTAAAGACGAAGCAGTTCCTTCATGAAATATGTCAACTAGAGCATAAAACAGATTCTTTAGTTAATGTAGTGCTATTCCTGAAGCGTTTATCATTTTTTGGTTCACTACAGTTGCTGATAGGTTAAATTTAAACAGGAAAGTAGTGTTACATGAGTAAGTAGGGCATTTGTCCGTTGCATTTCAAGTTGTCTGCATTTTAGTTGTTTGTAAATTAAAGAAATTATTAAAACATTGTTTGGAATTCTCCGGATTTCTAAGTCTGTTAATTATTAATTTAGCCCAGCTTGTCAGGTAAAGCTTTTAGTTTTAAATATGCAAATTATTACACCGTGAAATTAAACCTTCCTTTGGATTGATTATTTCTATACTCAACACTGGTTAAGGTATTTAATATTTATTACATAATGACTTTCTTTTTTGTCATATTGAATATTTAATTTAGCTTCCATTTTTTACATCTTACTGTTTTTTTTTCTGTTAAGACGCTACATTGTACATAAAACTTGCTCTGCCATTTTAACAGGTCAATGTTACATCTCATAATTTGAATGGGGAATCTTTTATTAATTTGATAAAATACTAAAATGAAATCCGTTTCGTCAAGTAAAACAAAACAAAAGAGAAGGCAGACATATTTCACACTTCCAATCTAAAATGTACATTTATTGCTTCCCACAGAAATATGACACCTCCGTTAATTCTTTAATGGGGGATCTTTCACAATTATCCCTCTATTCTATTATGCATAGATTTTCACGAGACAAATAAATGACTTAATTCTAGAATTATTTGTGTCTGCAAAGTTTGTTCCTGAATTAAAGGTGTAAAGAACAAAGTTATGAAACATATTATGCATAATACATTATATCGTATTTCTGTGTTCTGTCGTAGATCTAGGGGAAAATCCGTGTTTTATGTTCTTGGCTTATAAAGAAGTTACAGCTGTATTATGATCAATACTTGATTTATTCTAGCAAAATCTTCTTTGAGATGAGATTAGTCTAGTGAAATAAGATAGAGATTATAACATTTAAATATGAGAAAACATAGAAATTATAATCTTTGAATATGAGATAACGTAGAGATTATTATAATCTTTAAAAGCTTTATTGCATCTATTTCAAACAATTAAGATAATGGTAAAAAGAAAATAAAGGAGATGGGCGAACATGGCGAGTGAAAAGCCAATAGCTTTTGATGTTAAAAATCATATTCAATTTGTGAATTTTGTATTTAGAGGAAAGTTCTTATGATTTAAATTTTATGAAATTAATACAAACGAAACTTTTTCCCGGAAAATTTTCCAGGCAAAAATTCTTTAATTAAAAAAAAGTGGTATTCTTGCGGTTCGAACCCAAACAATTTAATAATCCTGAGAATCATTTTTCTTTGAGACAAACACGTTAACCACTACGCTACACAACTGGTGACAAATAGTGAGATTTAAATCATGTTGTGATGTGACCTTTCACCAAAGAGACTTCAAATATTTCCCGGAAAGATATGTTGTGTCATAAAAGTGTATTTAAGGTGTAGTAGGTCTTTGAGGATAACCTTAAAAAAGTGGAGTGAGGACCCACTCATATGGAAAAAGTATGTTATAGTATGATGAAAGGGCCATTTTGCCTTATTTGGTGTGTATTCTATTTCATAGGCGAATAATTTCAATCTTTGTGAGATTTTTGCAAATTATGGAGATTTTACATATACATGTAGTATACGTTAATGTTATATGAAATATCAAAGAGAATTTTGTTATAATTGAGATTTTTCACCTTATTTATCGCACCATAGACATTTTGCTCGCCTTGTTCGCCCATCTTCCATCTTCTTTGCGATAAATAATTATGTATGTACTCATACAAAAATTCTCTAGAATAAGACTTTTGTATGCCACATTCAATACATTGTACAATGTAGCAATCTCTACGACGCTATAACATCTCTAATTATAGAATATTTCTTATAATATAACATTTCTAATGATAATAAAAATAACTTTCATGAAAAAGCAACTTAGGGGAGGGGGTTTTCAGCGATTGATTAAGAGAAAATTGGGTTTAAAAAAAAATCTTTTCTTTTAGCTCAACCCCCTGATTGATATTGGTGTCCCGGGCTGATACAGGGAGTGTTATTGAAAAAGGTACATGTATGTTATCATTCTCTCTCTCTCTCTCTCTCTCTATATATATATATATATATATATATATATTTAATGAAGCAGTATAAACTGGTACATTAAGATTATATTTAAACATGTCATTTACAACGCAATCGTTTATTAGTCACCAATCATTATAAGTATACGTCTACATGTACGTGATATTTTGTAAGGCAATCTTTTTGAATTTCTTCTCTCTTCCCTTGAACAACTCTTTTGTAGCGTCTATCCATGCCAGTACAGACCAAGACTGCCAAATAAGAATCGTTAATACGAAATCTCATGAGTGAGATTTCCTTTTCTGCCTGGGTAATTCCGTCGTAAATCTAATTCTCTTTTTTCTAAAATGCGTATTTTCAGAATCTGATGGTATAAGTAAACAATAGGAACTCTATATAATCATTTCTAGGATTAGAATCACCAGTAACGTTTAACAAAGTCATTCCACAATTTATCGCACTTTGAATTGTAAAATGGAACTGCTACATGAATAGTTTATAAGATCATTGAGGGTCCTCCAGTAATTTCAAATAATTTGATCATTGTTTAATAAGTTATTATTTCCATTAGGCCATGATGTGTATAGTGCATTTCTTTGTATATAGCCTTTTTGGCGCGCTCAATTTAACGAATTCGGTTAAAATGCACCGAGAAACGGGGTTAAAAAAAATTAACCTTGCATTAATTTTGTTAAACATTAGTAAAGCGAAATAAAGAGTGATACATTGCCAACATTTATCGTGTCTTGTCAAAATATTTCCCTTATAGGGAAAAATCGTCATGATAAAGCCAACTTTTAATAATCCAATTAACAGTGTTATATTTAACACTGTTTAACTAAAGGAATCGATGGAACAGCCGTCTTGTAATGTATAATCCCTCGCTTCATCAAAAGATAGCTGGATGGTATATTAATCTAAAAATTAAAACTCTGTTTAATTTATCAAATTAAAAAATTATATTAATTTATAATTTATAAGAAAAGAACTGAAGATAGGGAAAAATTAGAATTTACACGGGAGTGCAAAAATTTCGATTTCCACCCAATATACTTCAATTCAGTTCTGCAATGGCCAAGTCTACATCTTTTGGTACTTGCTATCACGTTGACTACCAAATATTTCACTAAGGCATAAAAGTTATGAATTATATCTTTAAAATCACAATGCTTTGAACAAACCATGGACACCATTAGAGAATATGCTGATGATTCGAGGAAATATTCAGTTTAAGCAATTTACCACCGCACACCATGCGAGTTCTATGTCTCTGATTAGATGAACCTGGATTCAAATTCGATACATCTAAATGGTAATGGGTGTTTCTAGTCCAGCTGTTGGCATAAAAAGAGAGACTCTTTTGAATTTTCCTTTTTCTCTCTTTTGGAGGACAAATTGGAAATCCCGTACCAATTGTTATGTATAATACAATGAGTAGTGCATGCATATAGGAACATTGAATTCTGACGAAATGGGACATAAAGCCTAAACATCTAACCAATCACAGTGGCGATAATTTGACAAACATGTAAATAACATCCATTTTCACTTTAAGAAACAACTGTATGGACCGTGTAAGATAGATGTATTTCAGAATGATATATGACAAATGTACACTAATAATCTAGTAAAGAATCCAAGCTGAATACAAGTATATGCATGGAAAAACAATTTGAACTCTCTCTAAGGAATTTATAGGTTAATACTCAAGACGTCATATTGGTTCCATACAAAAATAAAACGACGCATGGATTTGATTATTAAAGAATGCATCAAAGAGGAAATAGTTTACTGTGGTTTCAGAGTTTGTTGAGAAAAGGCATAAAATGATTATTGGGTAAATCTACACAGCGCAGGCGACCCTAGTGAGGTTACAGCTAAGCCGCAGTCAATTATAGACTGAAACATACTCACGTCTTAACACTGGATATAGGGACGTTCACACGAAAGGTAAGATAAGAACAACTCATTTTAAAGTTTAATTTTTTTTGAAAAGCAAAATGCTTGTTGTTTTTTTTTTTCATTTTAAACAAAGAATAAATTGTGTGTATATACACGCTATTTCTTTGGCGCTGCTTAATTTTTTCATACAGATATCATACAAAATTTATTAATAGATATATTTCAAATGTGTTGAAAGATCCCTCATTGTGTAATATTTGACAAAATGTGTGCTATATTCGATGCCTTTTCCAGATTTCAATTGAATGCACCTGTTACTTAGGAAAACAAAATTTATATCTGATTAACACAATTCTTATCAACCATGCAGTGACGAAGGTCATCTTTGAAATTTTACAGGAGATAAAATCCCCTATTTCTTTAAAGCTTTTATTTGAAAATAATCGTCAGCAAAAATTACTCACCTCTTTTAAAATTTATAAACATTTCGAAGTGGGTATTCACAATTCGTTAAAATAAGAGACACTTGAATTGGGGAAAAAGTTCATTAAAAAATTTATGTACATTAGAGGAAATCCCTTTAATATGTTTGTTGACTCTGTTTTCTGTTTTGATAATTACATGTATTATATTTCATTTCATAAAGTTTTAGTTCTTTAGTCTTGCGTAATGTTAATTTTTTTCTTTTGCTTTTCCTGTCACCACATATCACAACTTAGATATATTGTGTTCTCATGGGTATCTTTTTTGGTTGTTTTAAATTACATTGAAATCACTTTATCGATGATGGGTCACTCCGTGGAAATAATGTAATTTTTTATGATTTTACAACAAATTATCATAACGAGGGAGTAGTCAATGATCTCATTTTTCCATAAGATTTCGGTGCACGTCAATCTATACGCTTGTGAGTTAGTTCATGCCAAAAAAATAAAAATTTTGGAAGAGGAATGTACATGCATTCTAGCGCCAAAAGTGTATGCTTCATATCTGGATAATGCACTGGAGAAAGACACTGATGGCAAACTAACAGCTAAACTTTATGATAAACGTGACGACTTCTACTTTTCTAAAGTCAACTTCTCATATTCATGTAGCAATTTACCAGTATCACCTACTCATGGGGTTCAAGTCTCCCAGTTGATTCGATACGCAAGATAATGTACTACGCGCAAACAATTTCAAAAATGAGAAAGACTACTGACATATAGGTTGATGATACAAGTGTACCTAAGATCTCGTTGATAGTCGATATTTCGCAAATTCTATATCGATACGAATACCTTCTTTGCAAATATAATCTGCTGACTGACCTCTTTCATAAAAAAATGTTAGGCCATTATTCTCGTATTGAGTTTCCTATGGAATATTCCGTATACCCGATCATGACAAAGGGCAAACGACGGGTGTGACCGGTTACTCCTCCATGACACCTGATTCAACCTCTGAGGTTTTCAGAGGTCCGTGATTGATCTGCTCACAATTGATATTCTTTCATTGGATTTTTGAGCGTGATTACTCTTCGTTTTTTTTCTCTTAAATTTCATCATGCAGCATGGCTCGGTTATGTTCCGACAAAAAGGTTTCTTGTTTTTTTTTTTGGTAGAGTGTTTCAGTAACTATTGCTACGTATTTTTCTTTTATGCACAAAAGTCACGAAACAGAATACTGGAATTAAATTATTCTAAAGCATGTGAATTACACTAATCAGAAAAAATTGAATAATGATGATATATTCGAATAACAGTCGTTGAGTTTAAAAGTAAGCTATAGTCCTCTGTGACATTATTTCATTTATTTATTTCTATCGAGTTAAGATTTATGCCGTTTATCAAATCTCCATTCTGTTGTGTATGCTTCAATAACTTTTCTTAAGTATAATTAATTTCGTTTCATGTATGGCAGATAATTTTCCATTATAAAGACATTGTCCTCCGACGTATTTCTCTGTAGTAATTCACAAGTTAATTGCATTTACATGAAACTTATAACACGACAAGTCTCTAACATTCCAACATAATTCGATATACGTATTTCTAACATTAATGAATACATGTATATGATTTATCCTTTAATTACATCGATTTCGAACAACAGTCATGAACTCATTAGCACGACATTTTGAAAGAACTTTCATAAATGTACTAAAGGATGAAAGCAAATGAATTCTAATTAAAATATTTAAAAAATTACAATGACTACATTAAATATCTATGTACATTTGTGTGCAGAATTTAATTTTTCACCCTTCGTTTATATAATACAGAGTATTTGAAAAATGTGAAGATAACGAACAGTGATCGATCTAAAAAAAATCTACATACAATACAAATCTGTGAACACGGCACAAAACGCATGGGCTATGGGAATTCCAGAGGTGGAATCAGGTGCCTAAGAGGAGCAAGAATCCCTTGTTGATCGGTCACTCCCTCCTTTAGCCCTATGTATTGATCGGGTAAAGGGAATATTCTGTGGTCAAATTTAGAAAAAACAACCCCACCCCACCCCCCTAAAAAAACAAACAAAGGCCAAAAATTGACACGAAACACGTCGGCCAAAATACGACACAGTGATAGATTATATTTGCTAACAAGGTCATTATAACGACTATACAATTTACGAAATGCTGACTTTAAACAATGTTGTTTAACTCCCTGTAACATCAACTTATTTGTCAGTAGTCTCCCTCGGAATAAAAACTGATCGTACTCAGAGCATGCTCTTGAGTATTGAATGAGTTGGAAGACGTAAACACCATATGCAGGTGATAGCGGAATATTACTACATATAAAACAAGGACATTATTGGTTATCTCGTTTGTCATACAATTTAGTTAACATTACACGTAAATTGAGAATAAGAAAAAATGTATCACTAATTATTCATCACAACAAATTTTAATTTTTAAAATGATTTCGATTTCTAACTTGTTGATTTGAAGCATCAGGCCTTCGATTACAATCTACAGAGTAAAACAAAAACCTGACGAAGAAAGCAAAAACAGCATTAAACAATAACCTGCTCTTGGTTTTTCTCTGTAAAATTGTGACTTGTTTGAAACAATTATGTTACGGGTCCAATATGAAAAAACTCTGGTCATTTGAACAACTATGTCAAGAACACTAGCATTTATAAACTGGTTACAGGACACAATTTAATTAATAAGTGAAATTTGTGCTTCCAATAACTTTATTATCGCTGACAAATAATCTGCCAATTCTAGAGTAAAGAGTATGTGTTGCTTTTAAAAAAAATATCAAGTACACTATAGGTGACTCAGGCATGTCAAACTCTCGTTTATCACTGAAAACAATGTAAATATCACCGACGGATAGATTTCAGAATCCTATCATCCAGATCCATGTCGCAAAATTCAGTTATGATCAAGTATAATCAATAGGGCAGATTCAAAATCCAGATTCCATTTCATTGTAATGAAATACATCATTAATGAACTCGATAACAGCACAACCCGGCATTTTTTTTTTATTATCTGTCAATTTATCAGGGAAAATAACAAATGAACCTCATTCTAAAAGGTCTGACTTTTTATAAAGAGATTGCGTAATCAATTCCCATATAAAATAAATTCCACGACTCATTTAATAATCAACACATTTGAGAATTATCTAATATCTAAGGTTGAAAATCTGTGTGCCTCTTAACATGCATTATCAGTACAACACATTAAACGGTTGATTGTGATGCAGTTGACAGAGTATGTACATAAATAGATATGAACTACAATAAATTCCCTGCAGAAAAATTTGCAATTGACAAGTTAATTGTTTTTGTATGCATGCATCTATCGCTCTTTCAGATACCATTACAAAGAAAATGGTTGTCAAAATAAGAGAACATTTTATTCAATTGTCTCTGTCCAATATTTAGGATTAGTGGAGGACTCTTGTTTAGTGAGACAGGGGTAATTCACAATGATACGTGATTTTAACAAAGACGCAAAGTAATAGTTTGGTTTTGTATCTTTGCCAGACATATTCATGCTTCTCTTGCAAGCCTGTCTTAAAAATAAAGATGCTCATTAGTAAAGAAAAGATTTACTACCATTCTGTAAATAAAACCAAGACGATTTGACCTAAGGGCGAGGGAATTAAAGAAGAAATAGAGTGTATTTATGTTGTGAATTACCAATAACAAAATCAAGTTACTTTGATATATCAAAAGACATTTAAGCGTACAGTAACATTATTTTCTATGACAAATAAAGTTATTGCTTGATGTAAACATTATACCTAAAACAAAAGCAGTATTTTATTCACCTTATGCTTGATTGAAATAGGACATTATGTCAAGTGAATAATATGGTAAGAATAATTCACTCATATGCATGATTAAGTATACATATAGATGCTTGCACTTGAAGTCCTCTGGTGCACTTACGATGCTAAAGGATATTATGCTTTTAAAAGACATAAATCAAAAAATAAAGCTATAATCATATAATCATATTGCGTAAGAATGATTGCTTTTTTTCGATAAATAAATGAACATCTAAGACTTTTGATTTTTTTTAAGATAAGGGGGAATTATTTGTTAAGTTATCAAATGCAACTCTGTCAATCCTAGGCAAAAATATAATGTGATCTACTATGCTTAATATTCGGCAGTGCGAAACAATCTAGATAAATAACTACACATCGAGAATGCGTATAGCTATGCAAACACCCATTCAAATCAACTTTTCAGAATCGTGAGCGTAAGTGCGACCACACACTACTAACATAGGATGCTCAGTGATTAGTTAACCATTAGCCAATCTACATGTATAAGGAATGTGACAAGAATATAGATTAGATTAAGTTTGAAGTATTTAATAATTAGAACTTATCAATCCCAAACCAGAGTTTGCGGGGGCTTAAGTTAAGCTGTATATATATTTGCAATAAGCATGTGAATAAGGTACACTTATTGAACTGCTTTAAGACGCCTACATAGGTATATAAGTTTAATGAATTCAGGGGTAATATTGAACTAAAAAGTAGTTTCCTGATTCATCCGCTAAATGGAACTTGTATTATTTTGTTACA